AATATAACAATGAAAGTAACCTTAATTTTTTTGGCAATGAAATTTAATTATGTCAAATATACTTATTAGTTAATGTACATAGTTATAATGGCGCATTATTTGTATATCACCCCCTTCTTTTGCGATTCCTCGAAGAATGTGTTGATAACATGATGCGTCATTTTTACTTTTTTATCTCCTTCATTTTGATAGCACAATCCCTCACAATGAATGTTATTTATGATTACCATAAAACATTGTCTTTATCTGGACTTTATCAAAAGGTTATACTAACATTACGGTAGTACGTAAGTAAACAACCATTTTAGGATGTACTGAAACGCAAATTAGGACGATAGTTTGTAAAAGAAAAATTCGTCAAATACAAGTTACTTTTCCTGCTAACCCCAACATGAATCAGGACCCTAACCATTAAAAATGATTACTTTTAAAATTTGAATTTTGCAAGTTTATATTAATCGTACGTATAATACCATCAAAATTTAGTAAAGTATGTCCACCCGAATCTGTACTCTGTAACTGCCGTACGGTACTACTTTACTGAATACCTATCATGTTATTACGTACGTATGTACGCATGTACGTTTATAGAACTTGTGAAAACAAAAATTTTCTATTTTGTCTAAATTCCAATTTATGCCAAGAATACAGAATTGTTGCTGAATATATTTTGACAATGCATATCATGAGGCCACAAATTGTGTTACAGAATTCAAATCATAACCCGTATATATACATTGAAATATCTTTATAAGTCTAAAATTTTGCAGACTTATTGTTTTTTCTTTTCACTTAAAAGTAATGGATGATATTATATACGTACAAAGAGACAATAATGTGACATTTTCTTATGAAGATGGTTTTAATACATTTCAGAGAGGAGAACTTGGATTATCAAACAGTTACTTGAGTGGAAATTTAAACTATTACGGTGCTAATATGATTTCATCGATCGAGTTTTACTTTAAAGGCGTTGAAGAGGCTCAATATACGGACATGGTAGGAAGAGCAATAACCAACAAGAATAATAATCGTATATTGATAGAAAAGCGGTTAAAAGTTAATTTTAACGGACCTAAACAAATAAAGTCTTATCCTTTTAAATTCCCATTACCTTCAAACTTGTCAAGTTCTTTCAAGATCACAAATAAGAATAATTTAACTCAATTAATTTGTCAAATAAATTATACTTTACATGCGACAATTCATCCATCCAGTAAATTTCGTAATAAAGATATTGCTGAGATAGTTTGTCCATTAGAACAAGTATTATTTCGCAACAACACAACTTATTTAAATGTGGATGGTACGCATTATGATCCTCGAAATAATGAACCTTTATTCGAATATTCATTTCAGGTCCCGGAATATTTGAGTCTTGGGAGTCAAATTTTTGTCCCATTTAAAATTAAATTTCGTGACACCTGGATTAGGATAGTTAGAATCGAGATTTCTTTGAAGAGAGTTACCGAGATTTTTTTTGAAAAGAATGGAACTTCTTTCAAAACTGAGCACAAATGTCACTCAACACTTAAAGAACCAGCCCGAATTATAAACAGTGAGCTTTCTCAAAGACTTTCTTTATCAATTCCACGCAAATTGGATACAAGTTATTCTGGCATGTACATAAATATTCATTATAAACTTTGTATAAAGTTTTTATTAACCGGTACAGAAGATGCGGATAGTGATTTTTACCTGGAACAGGATGTGATAGTGGCAAATATTAAAGATCAGACGGATGATCAAAGTTGTCACAATTCCGTAAGTGATCAATATCTTTCTCGACCACATAGTCCAGATCCAATAAATCAAACAAAAATTATTTTGCAAGAGGGATTTGATAATGCGGGCGAATTTACAGTTCAAGAACGACAAGAACATGATTTTCACGTTCAAGAACATGATTTTCATGTTCAAGGATCTAGAAGATCGCACTCACAATCTAGAACTTCAACATCTTCCAATAGAGAAAATCCGTAACTTATATATGTGATATCGTTCATCATTACGTTGTGAAAATTAATAATATTTTTTTCTTGCCTACAATTTATAAACTTGTATAGCTACACCCTAAGATAAATATAATAATTTATATTTATTGCTCGTTTCACGGGCAATAACAATAGCTTAATTTGAATTCTACTCACATTATAAACTAAATATTATATCCAGAGATTATTTGTAGTATTTTTACGCATATATAATTAAATAATAGTCTTTAAGTTTTATATTATATTGTATAGTCTTTATGTTTTGTATAATCTTTAAGCTTGTATTATTCTGTTATTATTTACATGAAATTAGTTAATTATTTTTTTAAATACTCAATTATTTATCTTTTAGAGCACTTCTAATATTCATAATATAATTATTCGTTGTTGAACACTATCTAATTGGGTAATTATTTTTAACAAAATGTTACTATTTATGCCATATCGATGCATATAAAATTGGTCCTGGTTCAAAAAAATTATACAATTGGCTTGAAAGCATTTCACTAAAACATGACAAATGAAATGAACATGAAATATCAAAGTGAATATTTTATCACAAAATTTATGTGACTACGACTGAAAACGCGACTGAAAACATGACTGAAGTTTTATTTCATTGATTCATCAGAATGTTCCTGATTAGCCGAGTAAATTTCATAAGAAATTGCTTTTTCAGCGCCGGGCTTTATAGTGTCACGGGATAAAAGTGACATTTCAAACAATAGTGCCGTAAAATTATGTGACCAAATATCACAAAGCTATAGTCGAGGCTGTGGAATTTTCATTTAGCACACCGTAAATGTGTACAAGGTTGTACTCCGGAAGATCATGTGATAGTCCGGATGGTGCCCTCGGATCATTAAT